TTGGCGAAGTGTGGGCGAAAGCAGACTGAGTTACCTAGAGCCTTATCTTACTTTTCTGCATTAACCGTGCAAACCGGCAGGTTTTGGAAGGTTATGAGTAACCGCCACTAACCGGAGAAAGGTTTTCAAAAGGTTTCAGAAACCGAACCGAACCGAACCTAACCGTGGCCACCCTGCATTGAGCTGGACACAGCTGCGCCTGCAAGAAAACGTGCTCAAAAAGGCCCCGTGCGCAGCCGCAAATCCACAACGCGATAGCGCGAGCCGAGGCTCCTATCCAAGCGAGAAACCCCACGACGGCTTGGACTCACCTATCCAGACCGCAGAAATGCACGATGGCAAGCAGAAACTCCGCACATTGGGCCGCACGCTCGTGCGATTGACGCACAGAATTTCCGCCAGCGGTCGCGCGGGGCCCGTGGCGCATCCCTTCGCAATCGTCTTTGCGCACTCTCTCCCTCCCTCTCAGTATTCTATTTTGCGCAATCTCTCTGGCGATCTAGGCAATCTCTTGGCGACATAACTGTGCTGTATCCTAGGCGGTCTGGTCGGCAAACCGTTCGCCATACTCCGGATCTGAGCCAGCGCAGCCGGGTTTGGCATTGGGTATCTTGGCAACGCCGTCGTTGTCTCCAGCCACTATACATTGGCCCTATGCTTCCTCGACTGTTTTTTAAATAGGGGTTGTTCAACCCCTATTTTTTGCATTGACAACCCCTATTTTTTGACATTGGCCTTTGGGGTCCATTTTGGGTTGTTACTTTGTTTTTATCGAAATTCCGCCTGCTATTGCAACCTCTTAAGAAGCCTTGGGAGCCAGTAGATTACTATTTATTGATAGGGTCCTCGGCGCCCTTTCGTGTTTGCACAATGCACCTGCTGAAAGTCTTGCGTAGACGGACCCTTCATTCTAGCAAATTCTAGAATTTTCCTCTGCAATTTGCGCAGGTGGCACGAACAACAAGCAATTTTGTGCTTGTTTTTTCCGCTCCAATCTTCACACAGCTCCAAAAATGATGTGAGCGTAGACAAACCGTAGACAAAGCGTAGAAAAACCGTAGAAACACCATTTTTAGCGTAGAACCACTATTTTTTGGCGTAGAACCACTATTTTTTGGCGTAGAACCACTAATTTTTGGCGTAGAACGGGCAAATTTTGCAGGGGACCCAGAAGATCAACATTCTCACCCTGGAATGGTTGCTGTAAAGGGGATTTTTTTTGCTGTCCCGTTTTGTTTGGTTTGGCTAAGAAGGTGGGGCAAAAGAAGGACAGAAACGGTCAGAAGAGGGTTCACCCTCACGCGCTACATGGCCATGTTCAGAAACCAAGCAACAGAGAAGCCAACATTAGCCTTGAAGATTGTAACACATATTGCTGCATATGAAAATACCTGTTCGGCTTTGGGATGCTATGAGGCGGCCGTAGCGTCAAGTCTTTCCTAGTCCCGTTGCAGTCCAAAACGGAGGCTGCCGCTCGTCATCAAAAAATAGTCTTTATCAAAAAACCGGGGTTGTCACAACGACTATTTTTTAAAATAGGCTTTGGAAGCATAGGGTTGGGGCAATGAAAGCAAACGAACTTGAAAGGGGCCGAACCCGGAGATGATGAACCAGACCCTGCGAAAAGCAAGGCCACAGCAAAGTACACCTGGCACTTGGAGAAACTATGTTCAAAGTACTTGAGTATGGTTCCTGCTGCGGTCATACCTTTCAAGTTTTAAGAAATCATTGGCCTGCTCGGCCTATGAGTATCACAGACAAGCCGCGTGGTCCAGCTGCGCAAAGTAATTATGAGGAAGAAACTTAGATCAACCAATGCTAAATGTAAACTAGGGACCCTTACTTACAGATGTTGATTCCAACATCGCGATCCCAAAAGATCCGGGGTCGGACTTCCACCACAGCCCGAGTCAACATATTATTAGGATTGCTCTGCACGAAGCAAAAAGGCGGTTGTCCCTTTGGCGTTTGTGGGGCATGTGGGCAATGTTTTGTTGTTGTTTGGGGCCTTATCACCTTGATCTTCCTCAACCCGCTTTTGGTGGGTCCCTCCGCAACTTACGGAGTGCAGCCTGCAAATATGCGGCCTCGACCCTGACTTCAGCACCAGCCAGTATGCGACGTGCATCTTTCCAGGACCGTGACAAGGTAAGTCAAGTCAGTTGGTTGGCCCCCCAGCATGTGAAACAAGCAAGACACTTATATGTTCAAGGTGGAAGACGAAAATACTGAAGACATGCATGAATTCCAAGGGCCCTCCCATGCATAGCAGTTTGGAACCAGACAATGCCAACAAACTTTGACATAATCACTTGATCAGTTGAATTTCCGCCGCTAGGCGCAGTGTGAATTTAGCGTGACAGTCGCCACCATGTTATAAAAACATAAACCAGCAAATCTCAGCTTAAGACATCCTTGGCAATGTGACCACTAGTCGGAGCGTGAGTGTAGCGTGAGGATAGTGTGACAGCACGAAGGATTGTGAAAACAGCGTAAGGTGGCATGGTTCTAGCATGAACCCTGCGCGTAAGAGAGTTTATCAGGGATAGACCCCTGAAAAGCACGAACGACCGTGAAAATAGTGGGCGTGATTCTAGCATGAACCCTGGCCCCTGACAAGAGCGTGAGTTTAGCATGTGGATAGCGTGAGCTTCGTGTGACCGCGAAGCCCTTGTGGGAACGACCCCTGCAGCACGAACGACCCGGAAAGCAGCGCAAGGTGGGCGTGATTCTAGTGTGAGTTTAGCGCCAACCCCATTTTGCAGGAGCGATCCCTGAAAGGCCCAAACCACCGCGAAAAAATTGGGCGTGACACTGGCATGAACCCTACCAGCCAAGCTTCAAAAGGTGCATGTTGTACGACCTCGTTTCGCGGGTAATTGAAAGGTCAACGCCACTTATCAATGTTGACTTCCTTGCACCCCACCTATGCCGCCTACACCAAAAGCGAGCACACCCCACAAAAATGCCTATTCAAGACCAAGTTGACTAGATACCTCCCGACGCGCCTATGCGACAACGTGACTCAGCATATTTAGGGCTGCGCGAAATTGCAACTTGCCACTACAAGTGTGGCACATGCGGTGCATTTTGGCAGCTCCAGCTCCAAGCTCACGTGCAATGCACAAAGTGCACTTTGGCAGCTACAGATCAAACATCCAGTACACGTGGAGAAGAGGCACACCTTGGCAGCTCCAGCTCGAAAATCGCAGCTTTTTAGCACACGCGTGCTTGTCAAAGTACACTTTGGCCCAGAAGCGAGAGGGCCAACAAGGGAAGGACGAGCCCGGAAGGCCCCCCCCCACTCGGTTGGGTCTTGGACATCATGCCTACGCGAAGCCCACGCGAAATCTCCATCACTTTTCGAATTCGGAAAATGGCGTGCTTATTGGACGCAGCTTCGCAAGCTGTCAGACCATCCCCACGAAGCTTCACATCTTTCACCCCTTCCTAAAAGCACGTGCCATGTGAAAGGTCAGCTTATCAAATCGTCGCCTACTCGACTTCCGCGAAACGCCGACGCACGCCGACTCACACCTAAGCGGTTGTGGCCTGCCAGTCTACTGCCTACGCAACACGTAAACATGTCGCCACAAAGATGCGGGCCTTCATCCCAACAGAAACGCTGCCCATGTAGTGGGTGTTGGAACTCAGCACGTCGTGTCTTGGAAAATCAGCGAGCCCCCTGGTTTTGTGTCTGTACATCTACTACTGCTGGACTGCTCACCTCTCATGATTCAGTGCTCGCTGCTCTACGCCAAGGCTTGATGCCCGGTAAATCATTGAACCCGTGTGCGGTCACATCCCAACCCTGTCCCCAACACGCAAAGTGACCATATCTTGCCCAGCCATTGGATCCTTGACTTGTTTGTCTGTACATCTACTGCTGAACTGTTCACCTCTTATGATCTTCCTTCCCCCCCTGTTCCCAACACTAAAAGTGACCATATCTTGCCCAGGCCTCATCAGATCCTAGGTGACCCCAGGCCTCCTTCGTCACCCCGCTACGGAACCCTCCGAAGAGGAACTCGCAGGGCAGCGTGATGTAGGCGCCTCAGTCGAGGCCCAACCTTGCCAAGCGACAAAACAAAACGTCCTTTGAATTCCCGATTGTGAGGTATTTTTCCCCAAATCTGGGAGGGTTCCCGTTTTCGAGGTGTTTGTTTCCAAATCTGGGAGAAAGCGACGTTAGAATTCCCAGCTTTGAGGTGTTTTCCCAAATCTGGGAGGTGTTTCCTATCCTTTTGGCCATTGAGAAACAGGATTCGAGATTAATTCAAAGGCGGCCGCACCCGTTGGCAGGGAAAGTCCCTTTCCCTTCCACCCAGGGTGAGGATTGTGGCTCATTTCCCGAGAAAGAATCTTACGTGCCCAGATTCCATTGGCCAAAAGAGGACTTGCCAATAGAGCCGCATGTCAGCAGAAGGTGAAGATGATGGAATTCACTGGGCAAAGTGAGCTCCATAAAGACCAACCCAGCTCTTTAGTGACCCGCGCAGAGAAACTCGAAAGCAAACAACATACAAGGTCCCAATCGATTAGTGAGCAACTGGCAATCTCACAGTACGGGTAGGCAGGAAATGAGAAAACGCCTGGAACCAAGCCAGCATAGTGCATACAGAACATGCAAGAAAAAGGGGCAAAACATGCACTGAACAACTAGGACCAGCAACTAGGTCCCCCAGTAGTGCCCTTTTACCATTTCTTTTTTGGGGAGGGTTCCCCTACAGAAAAAGTTGGTACCCTTAGTTTAACCTCTCTACTGGAGGACCTAGAGAAAGCAACAATTAGATCCTCGGGATCCGCAATCTTGTGCCATGGGCCTTTTTCGCATGCTGCATTGCGACCGCCCTCGCCAAGCAGCTTCCGGCCGAGGTTTTGGCCGACTGCCTAGCCTTGCGCAAGCCCAAAACAAGGTAAAACATGATGCTAAAAAAAGCTAAAACATGGTACACCAAGCTAACAATTACAAGGTAACACAGAGCTGAATCCAAAACATGGTCAAGGACTTGCGCACCTATGTCTCCCAAACTCCAAACTCCTCAAACTCCTCGGCAAGCTCCCAACAGGCTTACCGAGAATTTACCGGCCGAATGTCTCTTGACTCAGCCCGCCGATCTCGGATCTTGTGGCACTCAGGCGTCCGCCGGCAAGACCTCACAAGGAGAAAGGCAGGCTGCAACCAGCGCCCAACAATTGGGACCGAAAGTGGTCATCGAAAATCTCAGATTCCCTTCAACTGGTGCTTTGCAATCGTGGTTTGGTGCTTAAGGGATTGTTCCCATTTACGCACAAGAACCAGTTCTTCAAATCCAACCCCAAACCACCAACCCAAACCAACCCAAACGAGCTACCTGAACATTTGCCGACTCCAACCCAAACCGAATCCATTTTAAGTACCCTTGGAGTGGGTGGTTGTTCATCCTCAGCCAGCTGACCCCACCGCCACTTCCCAGGCCTCCGAGTCGCGAAGAAACGCGCTCCTTCGGATCCTTCAGAGAAGCTGGTCAGGAGCTAAAGGATCTGATCAACGCCTGAAGGCCGGGGCATCCTCCGTGTCCCGTTGGGATCCTCCCACCTTTAGGTGGCAGCGGTAGTGAAGGGGAAAGCCACCAGTGCATTGATCAACGAGAAGATGGACATTTCCAGTGACCCCCGGTATACGTTTGAAGATGGAAGGGGAAATCCAGTCACCCGGGGCAATGATGAACACTGGTTTTTTAACGAACCCCAGTAACCGGTACGACTCAAAAACCGTCCCGTACCTTGCGTCAATCCAAAGCGCCTTCCCCTGAAATTCGATCAGACACAAACATGCATGTGGTCAGTCTTCCTGGCTGCTTTACTTCACAGCTATGCCTGTAGTTCTTGGGGCACCGTAAGGTGAAGGGGGCTGCTCTTATGATCTCGCAGGAGGGGGCCTAGATGGATTTGAGCGCGTGCAGAAGAATGGACGTGCTTATCATTCAGCAAGCAGAAGGTCCGCCTTTTTTGCGTGCACGGCAAAGCGCTTGTGTGCCTATCAGTTGCTTGGTGGATGGTCCTTGGGGGAGGTGGGTTGTAGGGCCTCTGAGCCCTGCAGAGTTCGGTGGTAAGAGCTGGATCAAGAAAGTTGTCGTTGCCTAACGGAAAACATTGTCCAAGCAAAAGGCGGCAAGGTAGCACCAGGGTCCTCAAAAGAGCCATCTGTTTGACAACCCTCCCCCATAAAACCAAACAACAGACCAAGCTGTTTCCGCATCAAAGGTAAGCCCTGCCGCCATGCCGACAGCCCAGCCACAAATCCCAAAACCAGCAACCCCAAACCCAATGCGGGTCAAAAACCCTCCTGCAAGATGGAACCTGATTGAGGGGAGTTGGAAGCCGGTTTCTCTGGTGGGTTGCATGTACAGAGGGTACCTCAAATCACAACGACTACTTTTTGGCTGCTTGTTCATACCGTGGCAGATCTAAAGGTGCCGACACCCTCAGATATTAGGGCCCGGTCTCGTCTAAAGACATTCGAAACAAGATACATCAAATCAAGGTGCCCCCCCTGATTTGTTTATGGTTTATTCGGGAGGGACGTGAGGGGGAACACTTTCCGGCGAAAGAACAGGGGGCTCACTTAACTTGTTTTCGAACTGTCGGCAGACGTCAACTAGCGTTGTAGAAACCACTTCCGCAAGCTACTGTGCCGCAACTACATGGCACAAGACATGGGGAGGAGACTTCTTCCATGTGTGGACAAACAGAAGCCGGTTCAGACATGGCCGGGCTTGAGAACTGTTGGTGCGTGTTTGTTTCAACTCGGTCCTCCGGTAGAGAGGATAGAATCGGACAGAACAAGGGTACCCTTCTTTCTGTAGTCTATTTTAGTAGGGGAACCCTCCCCAAAAAAAGGGTAAAAGGGCACTACTGGGTCACCTAGTCAACTTCTTTAATCGCAGAATCTCACCGGCAAAAAGATACCACAGGGACCTCGCTATTGCTTTCCTCGGCCTCCAGTGGCCGGGCTGAAGAAGGCACCAGCTTTTTAGCACTTAAGAAATGGACACCACCTCTAACAGAAAATTGAAAAATAAAAAAAGCTGAAACTGAAAGAACACACAAAGAACACACCCCACTGCCAGTCTGGGTTACCTTTGAAATATGTCAACAGCCTCTGCTGAATGCATTGGTTCGTCTTTGGCTGCGTGGTGTAGGTGAAACTCTTGTTCAATACCTGGGCTACACCTGCAAATCTTAGAAGTTCAAGGAATTCCTGTAACTGGTGGCTTGACGTGGTTTCCCCACCCCTAAAGTGTCATTTTAACAACCCCTCAAAAGCAACCACTCAAAGAGTGACAACCAAACAAAGCCAACCCCCTTTCTAATCCGGGCACTACCGGGTGACTTCTCTAGCTGCACCCCCCATTCTCTTCAGGCATCATTCTCTTCAAAAAATGGGCCAAAGTAGGTGGTTTCTAAAGAGAATGGGTGAAGAGAATGGGGAATCCAACCTTCGAACTTTTTGGCGTCCAGTTTTGGACGTCTGATGCGTGTCAGGCGCGTAGGCGATCGGGCTGCCAATGGCATAGCCCACGGTGCCGCTGAGAGCCGCGGGTATCACCAGGCGGGGCTGCCCGATACTTTCCGCGAAGGTGGCCGCCTAAATATGAAACACGACCCAAAACATTACGGAAAGCAACACAATAAAAATACGAAACACGACCCAAAACATAGCAGAAAGAAATAATAATATAAGAAAAAACAACAAGAAAAAACACATTTTAGGGGTGACTCCAAGTTGAAGTAATCACCAAACTCTGCTTGCACCAGTTGATAGCTTGGGTTTCTCATTGCCAAGGACCCCCCTAAAACAACATGGCCAGCCACTGGGGGCTTTGGACTTCCCAGTGCCGGCCGGGAGATACAGCCGAAAGTATAGCCACTGTATGGCCGTGGGTCATAAGCTATGCCTCACACCCATGGGTCACCCACCTATTTTGATGTTCACCAGGGGTACAGGGTTTTGACCCACAGCCATATGAGAGTACAGACACTATTTTGTATGGGCAGTTTGGGGTAGTGAAAACCATCTTAGACGGTTGCTGGCCCTTTTTGCTTGGGCCTCTGACACCGGAACATGGCTGACTATCTTCTGCCTCTGCCTTTTTCCCCGCCACCGATTCAGGGTCCTTCGGATAGCGGCCCTGAGGGCCAATCACTGCAAGGGCCAGTCACGCCCCTTGCGAGGCGAGTCATATTGGTCGGACAAAGGTTTCCACAAATCAATAGACGCAAAGCAATCCGGGCCCGGAATAGGTGCGGAATTATACCTTTGCACATTCGAGAAATTGAACAAGAAAGCTTTATCCTCTGCATGGCCTCTTTTGGAACAAGCATTCACACAACATTTGAATGGTGGCTCATTCCCATTCGCCCACCCTTCCTCCGGGGGTTGGCCCCAAAACAAAATCGGAGCCCTTTCAACCCAACCTCCAACGCACTGGGTCTCAGAGCTCATCTTTCGTGCCCAGCAGCTGTGGACGGCCCCCCAACGGCAGCATTGCTTGCCACCAGCAGCACCGGCAAGCGCACCAGCCTCAGGGTAGTCCCCTCAAGCTTGCGAATGGATGCAAACTCGGAAAGCGTTTTGAAACTTTCCAAAGTTGGCAAAGACACTGGTCCGTGAGGTCAAATGCGTGGACCCCCCTCTGAATCCAAAGGTCAGTCACCAGGTAACCCCGCCTGGGCCTTGCTGCATTCAGCGCCGCCGCGCCCAAAGCCGCAAGCACCACGTGGCCTAACAGCACCTGGCAGGCACCAAGACATGAAACTTGATAAACGAAGACCCACAACACCCTCACCCTGGTGCAGCAATACATGGGTTATCTGCCTGTGTGCATCATGGTCTGAAACATCCTGGATTTTGGACATATTTTGGCGCATTATGGAACCGTACTGATAGCGATACTATTTGTTTGTTTAAATCTAACTCTTCCTGCAGCAATGCGCTGACTTGTGTTGTGTTGTGTTGATTCGTGCTGGTATCCATTAGACATGCTTGCCGGACTGTGTTTGTACAGTAACCTTCGGATCACAACAAAACTGGCACACTCGTCGCAAAATTTAAGAGACCCCCGAATGGTTGATCTAAAACCATAACGCTGCGTTCCCAAAACACCCCCACAAATGAATGTATCCGGCACACCGAGTTCCTGTACTTTTCCCCTTGAAAGCGCATCCTGCTCAAAGTACGCCCACCGTTCACTGTGAAACTAGTATATGTGCATGTGCTGAACTAATCTCTCTATATGCAGGTATGTATATATCATGTATATATATATATATATTTAAATATCCATTAAATATACATATACGTATCAAAGTTTGGTCATCTAGGGGGTGTCATTTGGCTAGGTGCTGCCACTTCCATGATCGGACAGTCAACTTTGGGGTTTTCGAAAGGGACAATGAAGGACACCCACACGGGGAAAAGGGTAGAACCGACTTGCAAACATATTTACTGGTCACTCCTGTACCTCGGAAAGACACCCTCTGGTGGTTGGACACCCTTTGGTGGTTGGACACCTCCAATTTGCTCCTCAATCCGAAACTGGGTCAAAGGAAGTGGGTCAGTGGGTCATATGAAACTGCTTTTGAAAATGAAAGGACCATTTTTTTTATCCTAGCTAAGTTGGCTGAAAATTCTTCAGTGGGTCATCCATCTGCTCGGCGCTCCGTCCCCCGCCAGCCACAGCCGTCGCTTCCAGGGCGCCACTCCGGAGAGGAGGAAGATGCCGCCCGCGTCATGGAAGCCGCCGCTGGCGCCCACGCCTGTCGAACTGGACGGGGGATGCCCCCGTTAAGCGCCTGGGGGCGCAAAAACATCCCCGTCTGGTTTCGAGTTTTGGGTGGTTTTCACATCTTCAAACAAAACAAAAAACGCGGTTGTTCCTGAGTGGTCGGTAAAGAAGGACCCTCTTTCATCTGTTTAGGTGTCCGCTTTTAGATGGGAGGAAGGCCTTTCACAGCCCTGGCTTGGCCAAACTGCTCATTGAACTTTTGAACCAGGTTTGGTCTTGCAAAAGGGTCAAAGCCGACGCTCCTGTTGGCGGCCGGGCATCCAGCATTCTACTTTTCTCACATCTACTCGACTCTGCAGTACTTCATGAGGGGTTCCAGGCGGGTTCCGGAAGGGCTTCTGAAACTCTTGGGATTTGCCTGGGTCTTTTCCTCTTGGGAGACACCCGCCCGGCCTAGCGTGGTATAAAAGCAACCAAGGAAGAGCTGCGCCACGTATGAAGCGCTGCCGCAGACGCTCCACTCTCGCCGCTTTCGGCGCAGAACCCATGCGCAGGCCTGGGAGCAGAAAAGACATGTCTGGCAGCAACTGGAAGGGGTTAGAAAACACCTGTCAGTGACCACAACTGCCAAACATGCCTAGGTCTCCAGTAGAGAGGTTAGAATGTCGATTTTAGTAGGGGAACCCTCCCCCCAAAAAGGGTAACAGGGCACTGGGACCTAGATGCAAGTTTAAACGTCTCAAGTATTCCTTCAAAGGAGTTGTAAGCAAGTGCTTGTTGAAACACAATTTCAAACACAGGTCTTTGTTGAGACGCAGGCATCAACAGGCCAGCATGTGTGAACAGATCTTGCCGCTGTTTGAGTGCTTGTTTCATGTTGGTCGCTTCCGGAACTATTTCCCCCGCCAACCCCGTCGCAAACAACAGCACACATTTCGGGCCCTCATATCCAGCGTCAGCCATAAAGCTGAGAACCTCTCAACTTGGTTGCAGTTGACCCGTCTGCAAAACGAGAGTTAACGTTTGACGCGTTCAATCCGGAACCCGCCTTGATGTCAACCAAAAAGTTGAAAGTTGAAGTCTAAAAGTCCGTTGCCTGATAGCCATAATACCCGTTGCCCAAGAGCCATCAAGAAATCGGAGAACCCTCAAAAAGATTATGGCTATTTCCTTCAACCCATGATAATTGTCCTTCAAACTAATCTGGATATTTCCTTCAACCCCATGAGAATGATCCTTCAAAACAAATATGGTTGTTTCCTTCAACCCCATGGGATTGTCCTTTGGAAATTGTCCTGGGCCCCTGGAGAACGTTCCTCCCAAAGCCGGACTTCGTCCGAGGCGCCGCCGCCAGCGCCACGCTGAGCGCCGACCCGGCGCCCGGGAAGCGAAACACTCGGGCGCCCAAAGTGTTTGAGGCCTGGCAACGTTGGGCCATGCGCCCGGGAAACACCGCGAAACTCAAAAGGCAACGCGAGGAAACAAGAATCACTGGGCTGCCCTCAAATCCCTCACTAGAAGTTCAACTTTTGGTGAGTTAAATGGAAACTACCTCTAAATGCAAAAAGGATCTAAAAAGCTAAGGGGATGGTTGGAAGCCACCAATACAAGGCTTTGCCATGAAATCCATCTGGTTCGCAGATCTAAAGTTGCTTGGTCCCGAATGAAACCTCTTTCGAGCCTTCAAAGCTGGTGCGATAGGATAAATGGAATGACCCGAATAGTTGACATATGACCACATAGTATTCACCATGGTGGTCATTCCATTTTGTATTTACCACCAGGTGGTCCATCATTCCATACTATGGTCCAATAATGTTGACCCAGATTAATAAACAGGGAGTGTTTATTCATATGGGGGTGTTATCACTTTTGGAGGGGAGCACCCCCATATAAAAAAAAAGGGGTTTATTAATCCGGGGTCAACATTACCCCATCCACCCTGGTGGTTTCCTAGAACCCCCGCCCAACAGCCAACCGCCTCAGCTTGCTGGCCACTGGCCTGGGCGATGGCCAAGGCCAGCAGCGCCAGAAAACTCTGCACCGCCAGCCGCTCCGGCCAGCCTTCGCTATTCTCTCCCGGAAGAAACCGAAGATCCCCCCGTTTCGAGCTTGGTTGACGTTGGAAGGGGAGCAAAAAAACATTGTTTAGCAGTTGAGTGTTGGAAGGGGAGCAAAACATTTCGAACATTTTAGCAGTTAAGTGGTTGGATTCCAACCACTAAACCACAATAAGCAAAAATGTAAAATGTTTCCCAACAACAATGTGATATCCACATAGGGTGACATTGAGTCGCGGGTATCTGTAAAAAATCGTACCGGCAAGCTTACCCCCTTCCAAGGGTGGTGGGTGTGTCTTTGCTCTTTCGATGTGTCAAATCCTGGAAATATTTGGACCCGCAAGAGTCTGGAAGTCTCTTTTTGCGCTTAAAAATATCCAAGCGCTGAAACTTTTGTGGAAACTCCGGAACCCATAATAAAAACCCAGTTTCCACCCGGGAGATTCCCTTCTACTCTGTTCAACAATGCTTGTTCACTTGCAACCAAACGGACAATATGTTATGACTGAACAGGGATTGAAAAGTCGGAAGCCCGGACTTTCCAGAAAAGCCATGGTGTTGGGCAACTACTAAGCAGTATTTCTACCTCTAGTCTTTGCATGCGGGTTGCCGGTGCCGTGGTTGCGCCAATTAGAAGCACTGGCAGGGTTTCAGGTTCAATCAGGTCCACGTCGAACCACAGAATCATAGCAGTTGCCGGCACAAGCGAACCGTGCTACTGCGTCAGCTCAACTTTCGGGCATGACAATCATGACAAACGCACCACACACGCACGAGTTGAAAGAAAGGAACCAACGTAGCGGGAGAACAAATGTGCTTTGGGTTGTTGACCGAGTGACTGAGTTGCAACAACCAGTCGGCAAGTCAGCAACCAGTTGGCCATTTCCAGGCCAAAGTGGCGACCATCCAAAACACTGCTGGAAAACATGTGCTTTGGGTTGTTGACCGAGTCCATTTCTATCCCACACAGGCCAAAGTGGCGACCATCCAAAAACTACCATCATCTTGAGAAGGGCTCAACTTCCCTGGTTGGCAAGGTAGGGTGCGAGCAAAGAACCTGTGCCAACAGGCAAAGGAATCGCTTGACGGCCCTCGCTTCGAGGCAACTGGAACAGCGTGCGGACGAAGTGGCCCAACTGCTTCGCCCTCGAAGCCGGGGCAGTGTCAACCGAAGCGGGCGTCGGTGACTGCGCTGGCGCAGCCCAGTTTGCCACCATAGTGAGGCCCGCAAAGTAGATGCCCATCCTGAAATGAGTGCAGCTCCAAACACCTCTTGACAACCGAAAAGGTCTTAGCTGGTCTTGTGTCGCAGGTTTGGTGCACTTTAAAGGGATGCTCAGAGGGTGTGAATGAAACAATTATTTTGCAATTCAACACACTTCTTTCTATGCAGCATGAACCCGCCCCTCCGTTGCGTTTCAAAGGAACATCGTCTCCCAAAGGGTTGCCAAGTCCCTTCGGGGGAGGATGCTCTGCAAACAACCAAAGGGGTGCAACGCACTGCCGTTCAATACTGCCAGTTGCAGCGCAGTCTTCGTTTGGAATCAATTGGGCCCTCTTGTGGGTTTCACACTGGGTTTAGGTGGGGAACTCTTTTGATAACACCGAGAAAAGCCAGCCTTGTTTCAGGAAGCATGGAAATGAACGGGGCCCTCAAGGTGAACAATGGAAACTCTTTTTGGAGTGACCATGTTGAGTGGGGAAAACACCAAACAAGGGAACAAGGGAATTGGTGAACCCTCAAACCATGGGCTTTATTCAGGGTCTTTGCAAAACTCCTTCAAACAACCACCCCGGTTTTCCCCGTTTTGAAACGGTTTATTTACACGAACATGTGCAGGACATGGCCCCAAAACACGCCAGATCCTCCTGCAAACGAGCCCTACCGTCGTGTTGCGGCTTCGTTTCACGGCCGAAGCTCAGCACCACATCGGCCGCCGCCAGGCAGCCCAGCAGCCGCTGGTCCTGCGCCAGGCCGGAGCTCCAGGCGACCTCCGCCAAGTTCGCCTCGGTCGCGCCGTCCGTGGGGAAAACCCAGCGGAACCAGCGGTTGGTGCACGAACAGAGGAAGAACACACACACACACAAAACAACAAAAACACAGACAACGCCGACAAAAGAGAAGAACAAAAAACACTGATTGCAGTTGGTCATCAATTGCACTGGTAAGTGAATTGAAACAAATGAAAACCACTACCATATATCGACCAACCTGCAACCAGCAAGGACGCAAAACTCTCTTTGAACAGTTCTCACCCGCCAAGAAATAGAATGCAAAGAACCTGTGTCCATCTGAGCACAGGTGAGCTCCTGTGAACCCCGCATCGCCCAAATGTCCACGCTAAATGACCTAAAGGGATATGTATATCCGGCGGGTTCATATGCTTAGCAACGTTTTCCTAGGATTTCCCTGGTTCTCCGGTCGCCGTAACTTGGTTTACTTCTGATATGGGTATGAAATTCAAGGGGGAAACCCGTCAACAATGGTTGACATACATGGCCACCTAATGGCGCCTACCAACGGATTTCCACTGAAAACTCATAATCACACACATTAACTTGGGGCTGCGTAGGGTGGACACTTCAAAAACATCATGTTGCAACCACTTTCTGTTGGGGAATCCGTTTTATACTTGTTATTATGTTGTTTTGTGTTTTTTGGGGGAGGGGGGGGGGGGCCTGTTTTTGGCGCCTGCGCATCCAAGTGGCGCTGCCCCCGATGTAGGTGGCTGCCAGGGCGCCGCAAATCTTCGCGGCGGTGGGCGCAGACAGCGCCGCGAGGCCGGCGACTCGGACTCGAACCGAGGCGAACGCGCTGGTCCAGCCCAGTAGCGCTGCAAGGGAACCCACCGTTTTTGAGGGCTCCCTTATTTACAGACAATTATTGTGACTACATATGTATATATATATATACAATGATGATGATAATGATAATAGTGATGAACATAATATGAAGAATAACAATCATAATGGTAATAATGATGCACTAAATACTAGTACATGTGTATATCTGCATATATATATATATATATATATGTATATATGGGTTGTCATGGGATGGGTGACTATATATATATATACATATTATAATAGTCCTCAATGTACTTGGTCAAATGCTGACTCAGAGCCATAGCAAGGGGAAGCCATGGGAAATAGCAAGGGGAAGCCATGGGAAATCATGACCCACGGTCACGAATGGTCCCCAATTTGCAATGGCTCAGCTTGCTGTGACTCTGAATCAATCGACCCATCAAGCTGGCACTCTCAGGTACGGGGTTCGAAGGCAGGGATAAGTATTATGCATGGATGCTTCTTTAGCAGAGGCTTGCAAGGCCGTATCTACCCCTAAGTGATACATGCATACTGCTGCACACCCCATAAATAGAAACGGTCTAGTTTTGTGGCCCTGCTGAGGTCCTCCCCAAAAGACCCCCCCCGATTCAGTAACCACCACCATGACCCTGGTCGACCATGGCAAGCAGCTGACAACCATAAATATACTCCAAAAGGCGATACCTGTCGCCTTTCTGGCAGGACAGCAAAGGCAGCCGCGTATTTGCCAGAAAAGGTTTTGAAGGAGCCTCCTCTAAACGGGATCTTCGGGTCATGAAAGGCTGGTTGGCGGGGAAAAAGGCGGGGTTGGCTCCAGAGACTCACTTAAACGGGCCCACAAATGTGTTAAGCAGCCCAGGGGAGGTAAATAGCAAACCAGGAGCTTCAATTATGAAAGTCCCGGTTGTGGGGAACTGTCGACCATCGTGAATCATAAGTCACAATCATGGGATCATAGTGATAGCATTTCTTCAGCCCCTCATGCTATATAGGTCATGCAATGGCCGGTTGGTTGAGAAAACAAGGATTCAAGATGTGTGTGACATTGTTTTAAGAACATCCATTGTACATCCAGTTTAAGGAAGCTGCAACACTAGAGATTGTTCAGCACCCAGAATTGTTCCTCAAATAGGACAAGGCTGGTTCACCTCCCAGTGGAACCTCTCCAACATGGTTGCTTCCCCCTTCAATCACTCGATTAATTCATCAGCTGGGTTCCCAAAGAAATCAAAAGGAGGCATCTGGATTTGTTTCAACATCCCCAATGTCTGGTGGTTTCCGCTCGGGAATTCCAAGAATCTGAGAACTTTAAGCAGCCAACGGGTAACTTTGATGGCCCCCTCCAAAATGTGACTGATCGAAACTGGGACATCCCACTACTCATGGGTGATTCATCAACTGGTGTTCCGGTAGCATCTCCAAAAAAGTGGAACCACTCAAATAGATTTCCCGAACGTTCTCTCGCATGTGGGGAATGCTCATGTACCCGCAGGCCGATGCCCATTTCCGAGCAGGGTTGGATAACAGGGTTTTAAAATCAGACCCCTGCCTACAACAAGAAAAGCCTGTAAAATGGGAAACCGATGAGAAGCCAAAGAAGGCTGTTTAAGCAATCGGGCTCCCAATATTTCACCACTATCAAAGTCACCCCCTAGGTAGATTGAAGGGAACCCACCACCGCAGCTTCTGACTTTGATCATTTCCCGAAACAGTCACAAGAATGACCCCGGCAATACTTGGTTGACGTTGGACGGGGAGCAAAAGCTTAAATCTTAGCAGTTAAGTGGTTGGATTTCCGACTAAACCACAATAAGCAAAAATGTGAAATGGTTCCCAACAACAACCATGAATAGGGCCCGGCTATTTCAACAAAGGTCGCTCAAGAGCCCATCAAAACTCTCGGCGCCTGGCGCCCAACCGGCGTTTCCCGCGTGCGACAGGGCGAAGGCGGCGACGGCGGCACCGCAGGAAGCCAAAGTGCAAACCTGAGCCGAAGCCACCAAAACCCTTTGATTTGTGTGTTCTTACATGGGACACATTTACATGTTGATATATAACTATAGACATCATAGAAACCAGCTACAGGCTAAAATGGCCAATGGGGCTGCGTTGCTCTAGGACCAGACTTGTCATCACTTGAACATGGTGAGGATAGACACATTTAGATCCCGCAAGCTTCGCAGAAGCCTTTGAAGAGTCCCTTCCAAGCAGATTCGGTAAAGGAGGCCTTTGGTTTCCCTGGAAGGTTTGTGTGCAACGGTTGAGCCTCCAACTAGTCAAAGCCTAGCGAGTTGGTTGGGTTTTCCTTTGGCTGGGACCAAATTTCTGCCTGGGGTCTTTGGATCAACCGTCAAAAGAATGGTCGAGAACCAAACAAACATAGTTCAACAAGCGCTTCGCTGGTTCGCAGCACACGGACAAAAAAGGGGTTGAATGAAAACAATGAATATGGGGTGTCCCAAAATCCAGGATGTCTCTTTAGCTAAGTCATACAAGGAAAATGAAGAGCAAACCAATTGTAGGATCCCTACTTGGCGTTGCAGGTTGCAAGGAAATAAGCATGACATCAAGCAATATTGCTGTCGGCTAAAGGATGCATCCAACTGACCAGCTGACTTGGCTGGCCAAAAAACACAACAAACAACATTTTGCCCTTAGACCGTGCTGAAGAAACCTGCCAACAAAAACACGCCACGCGCTTTTGCGGCTGCCAATTTTAGAATGCACACGTTTGGAGTCACAGCTCAACAGCTCTTCCCTGAAAAGACTCAAGGACTTGGCAAACCAGAATGACACAGTTCTAGGGGAAGCTTCCCCATTCTTTCCAGGGATCATTCTTTTCAGAACACCAAGCAACTCAGGGGAAACAGCTGTTTTTTGAAAGGAAGGATGGTTGAAAATAATGTTTGGAATCAACCCCTAGAACATTAGGACGTGCCCAACCCAAAGAATCCGCCAGGACACGGCGAAGGCCCCTAGCACAGACCAGATTTCGTTGCCGGAGCTGCCGCCCTCAGCCTGGCATTGACAGCTCAAAGACTTGCTTGTGCTCTGTCTGGGTGCAAAAAGGTGTTTCAAGAGCCAGCTGTGGACCACCGTAGCTTCAGGGCAGGTGTTGTTGTTGCTTTGTTTTTTTCGTCGGACCGGCTTTCAGGGCAAGAATCAACAACACCCGGCATTTATGTACAGGAGACTCCGTTCTTCAGGGGCCCATGTGTTTGTTCATTTCGGGGGACGACGCCCCCGAAACTACCACTAGGTCCTCCAATAGAGGTTAGAATACGGGTACCCTTTTTCTGTAGTCTATTTTGGTAGGGGAACCCTCCCCCAAAACAGGGTAATTACAAGGGCACGTGGCTGGGGGACCTAGACCAGGTCCCTCGGAGCCTTCCCCCCCGCCCCCAACCCGTGCCGCGCCGTCTGGGCTGAGAGGACCATCAACGGCAGCGCCGCCGGCAAGAGACTCGAGGCCAAGCGCTCGGCGCTCTGCGCGTCACGCAGCAGGCCCAAAGCCTTCAGCGCCCAGCCGAAGAAGAAGGACAACAACGGACTGGTCACCTCCGCGCAATCTTCGCATGGCCATGGGTCAAAATCCCAAGCCCGTGCCCCCAGTGAACATCCCAATCCAACCACTAAAATAGACTGAAATGGGTTGTGCACCTACCCCAGAATGGTACCATTGGTTTTGACCCATGGGAAAATACCGGCTATGGATTTAACTTGGCTTGTTGCTGGATCCTAAAGGCAATATCAGTCCCCCCCTCCCGCCAAAAAACAAAAAACAACAAGACGGAAGAGGGGTGCGGGTGGAGGTCTGCGTCTTCAACATACCTGAATTGAAACCGCAATGTCCCCCGTTCGAAAGGGCCATGTCGTGAAGTAACATGTTTGAAGCAGCGGAATGTTTGGAACACGTTGAGACAGGTGGTTTGCCCTTCAAGGTGGGACACGACCAGACTCCCAGAGCAAAACTACCATTCTTCATTTCGGCTTCCCCTCACAGGGAGGAAGGGAGCGTGCTGCTAGTGGCTACTACCATTCTTCATCCCCTGGTCACCTCCACGGCTCTTTGGATCGCACGTTTACGCTGGAAGCTCAACATCAGGAGTCGCAAATACAGACGACCCCAAGGTCATCTGAGGACAGACCCGGGTCATGTGTCTCCAAGTCACTGCAGGATACACAGCAAATACCTTTCTAAGCTGCGGTCAATCTGTGCCCTTGCAAGGCTGAAACATAGAAGTAGTTGTTCAATAAACTGGCAGCTTTAGGCTTCGCCGCTATACTCAGCGACAACTATTGCACGGTGCGATACCAGCTGACCCAGATCATAAAATGTTAATTCAATCCGAAAGGAACATAATTTCGTGCAATCACCGGAGATATTCACTGAATACAACTCATTGGCGATATGTGTCCAGGGTCTCCAACAAAATTTCCAGGTCGAAACATGATGTCGGATGCTTGACGGCAGCAATCAATTCTGAACGGATGGAAGGATGCCAGCTCTTCACAACAACGGGGAAAATTCTAAATGGTCTATTCGTATCTTGCCCGCAGTTGCGAAGGAAAACACCATGGCAGGTGCCTGCAGCCGAACGGAAAACCATCTGCATCAAGACATCCTGAAAGGGAACTCGGGATCCATGAGACTGGATGGCTCATGACCTGAGTGGAGTGCAGCTGAAACAGAAACTGTTGGCATCCCGATGCATCTGCCCAAAAGGAAAGTGAAATCCAGAGCTCTTGGCTGGAATTAGGACCCCAGTAAAAACAATATGCTTTGCCTGGGTAGTGGAAAACAAAGGGAACCCCAAACAAGCAAAAAAGTAAAAAGGGGAACTAATTCTGGGGAAGAACTTAGGTCTCCCCTGACCTGTCGAGGAGCCTTCCAAAGCCAACAGCAACTTGGCGACAGGTCGCTACTGGAATTGACGTGCACCCCCTGGTTCTGTGATACAGCTGCTGGGCCATTCCAATCCGCAAGTCTTGTGGTATCGCGACTAGGGAACCACCGCCTTTCTACAACCCTGTACAAACCTGGTATCACACTCACTGAATCATAATACGGGATCCGATCCCCGCAGAGTTAAACAAGTCGAACTTGTACTTCTGGTTCGCAATGCTCCTGAGTTCACCAAGACAAGTGGACAAATCCAAGCTCCAAAGCGTCCTCTCCGATGCCGCGCCTTGCGTCCCAGAGCAGTGCGTTCAAGCGCCAGCGCAGCCCAAGCGCCCAAACCCACCGAGGCGCTAACCCATGCCGAATACGCCGCAGGTGCCGCGATAGCGAAAGCGCGGACGGGCTGAGCAGGAGGCCATCCACCTGCAAGTGTGGGAGATGTTGCTGGTGGTTGGTTGGTCGGTTGCCTGCTTGGTTGCCTGCTTGGTTGCCTGCTTGGTTGCCTGCTTGCTTGCTTGCTTGCTTGCTTGCCTGCCTGCCTGCCTGCCTGCCTGCCTGCCTGGTTGGTTGGTTGGTTGGTTGGTTAGTTGGCTGCTAGGTTGCGTGACTGCTTGGTTGCTTGGTTGCTAGCTAGCTTGTTGAGGGCAGGACTCCGTCGATCTTCAAGCAACACACATGGTTGAAAGGCTTAATGGAAATTGCCAAGCAGCCAACCAAGCAAGCAAGCCAGCAATCCAGCCAGCCAACCAAACAAGCAAACAAGCAAGGAAGCAGCATCAAGCAAGCAGCATCAAGCAACCAAGCAACGAGGCAATCAACCAACCAGCCAAGCTGGCAAGCAAGCAAGCCAGCCAGCCAGCCAGCAGGCCAGCAAGCCAGCAAGCCAGCAAGCCAGCAATCCATCCAACCAAGCAAAAGCAAACAAGACACATCCATCAAGTAGTCAAGGAGGCATGGACCCCCTCTGCCCCTCCCGAAGAACACGTAATGAAAAATGAAGAAACAAACAACAAGCAACTCGCCGCAGGAAACCCAACCAAGCGCAGAAAGTGGTGCCACTGCTCAGGGCTTTCTCTTGATCTTTGCCGAGCCGCGCCGCACTCCGCGGCGCGGTGCAACCAATGGCCAGTTGGTCGCAAGGGTCAAGCGCCCATGGCCAAGTTGCATGACGGCGTGTGCCCGGACATCCAAACTGAGCAGATTGACCTTTGGGTTGACACTCACTGACAAAACTGCAACAAAAAACACAGTTAAACTTCGACTTTGCGCAGATTGCAAATCTTGGGGATGCCACAAACGCCAGGTGACTAAACATTGGCTCCTGCTCGCGCGGGGCAACAAGGTTGGCTATAAGTCTGGCGATGAAATGGCTGCAACAGCGATTTCTTTGACAGACACGCCGAAGTGCTGGGCAGGTCAAACGTGCTCCAACCCCAACCCATCCCAATTGGAAAGCTAAGGCACTGGTCATTCTCGATATCTAAGGCTACGACATGCCTGACTCAGACGTGCGGCTGCTTCACTTGCTATTCATAGGGCGCAATAAACACGGTCTTTGGCTTGAAAGGAAAGTAGGCAACTAGCTAAGAGCTGGCAGCATGCCAAACAGGATGGTATGTCTGATATAACGCTTGTTCTTATTTGTCAATGTTGACAAACATGTGGGCGTGCTTCTCTAGGACGTGTGTGTGTGTGTGCTATCTGTTGGTTACTTGCCAGACGGGTTAAACAAGTTCAAATTTCTCTACCGTAGGGTGCAGGGGCATGGAGGGGTCCGAAATTCTACGTTTCTGGTCTGAGGCACGAAAGCGAACATGCAACTATACTGGAATTTTAACGGTGCACCATCCCCGCATCCAATTTTCAGGCGGGGATAGTCAGATGGTCCAAACGAGATGGATCATATCAAGGGCTCGAATGAGTGAGCCGCCAGCAGTCTCAACAAGCCGACCGGCTCACGATTGCTGCAGGCGAGTTGCTGGAGCCGCACCAGTTCTGCCCAATCCTGAGCAGCAAGTAAGTCATAATCAAAGACTGGAATTCAAAACGGGATACCCAAAACCTACGGTGACGAAGGCTCAAAGCTTTTTTGCCGCTTCTATTTCGGTGAAAGCTACGCAACGATTGCGGCTCAAGTCCAAAAATATATATTCTTGAAACCGAGGTAGACGGACGTCCTTGTGAGCAACAAGCAAACATGAACGTTGTTGTTACTTACCAGGGTGTTCCAGTTGCCACTTGGTGTACGACAAGTTGTTCCTACGCTGTTGGCAAGCCAATGTATGTTGGTCCAACAAAGTTGCCTTAAAAGAGCAAGTTCTAGACACCGGGTTGTGCCATGTCTTTTGGGCATTCCACCGTGGAACCAGCCAAGGGATCTGCCCCAACGAGAGCTTGGGAATCAGAGCAGCTTGCCCACTATCTTTTTCTCCACCCCACTAGCAAGGAATACAGGCCCCGCCTTTTCATCCGCTGGCAAGTGGGGTTGGCAAAGGGTCTCCCTTGACACGCATAGGGATTGGAGGATATATTATTCAGGTAGGAAGGCACATCCTCTTAGACTCGCCGCTTCGGCTCTCCACACAAGAGTCACTGGAGCTCTACTTCAAGCTTGTTTTTGTTACCCTGGTGCATCCAAGAGTTTGGGTATGGGGTCAAAAATAAAAAACCACCAGGATATGGACCGCAGGCTGGCCCATGACTCCATTTACAAGGGTTCCATTTTGGGTATCTATGTTTGACCCACATCCTTTTGACAAACTATGACAAACTCAGTCTGGTGTGTTCTTTGCCGGAACCGGCAAAGAACAAAAAGCAGGCGTGCCATCCTCCAACTCTGAGAGCCTTAGTCCGGATCCAATGACAGGTAGCTCCACAAAGAGGATCGCACTGGCTCAGGACGTTCTCCCCGAAAGCATCCAGCCGTGTTTGCATTGGTACATTTCTCAAGCTGGGGAGCATCCTTGGATGGTCCCCGGGTGATTGATGACCCGGATCCAAACAAGACGCACCCCTTAGGGTTAGATCTGCGAATCCTGGCCATTTCTACGCCGAAAGTGTCCATTGCAACTCACACATTGACATTGTGCTGTTTGGCTAAAAACATTTAGCACCCTAGTCATGTTTGGTTGGCTGAACATATGACCCAGCTTGGGCGACTTGAGCTCCTCACTGGGGGAGGCTGTTCAGCACCTGCATCACCAGCAAGGGCGAGTAGCAGGCCAGGGTGATCACCTCAGGGTCATGAGCCGAGGAATCTCTTTGGAAAACCTGCAGCGGCCTTTCGAATGCTGGTTGGTTCTTCTGCTGCCAGTTTTAATCTAATTCGAGTCTTCTGCATCTTGGTTCTTCTGGAGTGCTGGTTGGCTCCCCAATTTGGGTCGGCTGCCAAGGTCTTAGTTCTTCTGGTGCGTGATGCTCCAACGTTGAAGTGTTTGAGGGTATTGCGAACGACTGATGGACTTTGATCGCTGTAACAAACAAAAATAACGGCCCGAGCATAGGTGTCCTTTTTGGAAAAATTGATGGCCCTGATAGTTGATTGAACCACCAGGTAAACCAGGGCCCTCTATGTTTCAACCAAATCAACCAAAAAGGACACCTATGGACCCGAGTAGAACCCAACAATAATCCTGAGTTCCAGGGATACATGGGAGTGGACGTCAACGTAAAATCACAGATTGCTCAAAACGCCGAACTGACTGGCTGTCTGAGTTGATTTCCTTGGCCCGAGGTCCGAACTTGAGTATGGAGTCCAAGGACTCAGGATCTACAGGGATGAACAGGATGTAACTCGCCAAAGGATATAATGATATAACTCCACATTGTAACAAACAACTTCCATTTGGTTAAAGACCCCTGGAAAAATAGTTCCAGTAGTGCAGATTTTTCTAAAGACCAACATGGGAAACCAATATTCTTAAGCAAATGGAAGACAAGCCATCCAAGAACTGCTCGTCGCGCCCCGAGCCAACTTCGCCCCTGACGTCGTCACTGAGGCTTCCGCGGAGATCAGAAGCAGTGTGGAGTGGAAGCGGAAGAAAGCTCCACAGGCCTCTCCGTAGTGGGAGGCGATGTACCTAGGCCCGTTGCTTTACACAGCTTCCCTCGATTTTTCGGATTTACACATCACACCACCAAAAGGGAAACTCACGTTGCAAGTGGAATTGGCCTCAAAGGTGATAATCAAACTTACCAAAATGGGAAATATGATGAAGACTTATAGGAATCATGCTTACGGTTCGGTGAAAGTAGATTTCCAAGCAAAGCTATCCAACATGGGTTTACATGCCAGAATGGAAGGACACCAAATGGACGCCAATCGTTTGCTGAGTGGGGGGTTCATCAAGCTAAGGTTTTACTTATACAACCAAAAAATGGACATAGGTCCTTCCAGTGGGTCGGAACCCAGATGTGCACGGTCCCTTTTCCATGCCCGAAATCATACCAACCACCAAAAAGCCAGGATGGGTTTTGCGGTAGGTAACTTGGACGGCCTCTGTACAGGCCCTGCGGTACCGATGAAAAAGAAACACATCCTGCAGTACCCATTTAAAAGTTGAAGGGCATGGTCAGCACCTCAAGCCGTATCCTAATAGCCACCTGGAAGGAAGATGGCCTCCTGGGAAGAACCGCTGCTCCATACGCGCAAACCCTTTGTGCGCAATGGTCAAGGCTCCTTCTGGGTCGTGGTGGTTCTGTGCCAGGTTTTGTTTAGGTCTGATGACAACGTCGCGGCATCCCGAAGCCTTGGGAGAGAGTAGGTCTCAGGTCCCTTGAATTCCATGTTTGCCGGCTTCCCCTCCAAAAAGGAGCATAGGTTGCCACAAATGAAAATCCAGGGTTCATTTGGAAGGGTGGGGCCATGAAACCCATGAAGGAAGCCGTGTGTTTAGGTTTCAAGGCAAAGCAAGGACCCATGAAGTAAAACCCACTCAAACCTTAAGCCAATGCAGTTGTACGTGTATACATATATATATATATGTATATTCCAGTAGAAAGGTTAGAACAAGTGTACCTTTTTTTCTGTAGTCTATTTTAGTAGGGTAAAAGGCCACTACTGGGGACCTACTATTATACACAGGTAAGGGTCTCCCAACTGTTGTGAGTTTTCGGCGGGCGAAGTTTCTGGGTGCCGCGCTTGATGTCCCGAGTCTGCGGCAGGAACCGCCAGTAGATCTGGGAGCGTAGCTGGGGAAGGGGGCCAGAAGCATTTACTCTACTTCAGATTGTGGCACCCAACACTACATACATGTGAGAGGTCTGAACAAAGAGGCACATTCAGGGTGCTTCAGGTGTTCCTGTGGGACTTCAGCAAAAGATACATTTGATGGGGCTCTGGCATAAACACATGCCCCGTTTCTCTCCTGCGGATTAACATAGAACCCAAAACGATCGTCCATCTTGAGAGAAAGCTCCGTTTAGGGGACAACCCCCGCTTCTGGATTCCATGTTAATGTGCAGGGGAGAGACACAAACAGAGTGTAATTCGTCTGTCACCTATCTGTGTTTTCAGATGTGTTCTATTGCGACTGGTGCCTGGGTATGAAGATAAGGATCACGCAACAAAAGCCGGAGAGGTGTGACTAGCACAATGTCGCCAAGCAAAGGGTTGCCAACGGCTACCCGCTGTAGTGGTGACTGGAAGCAACGGCAATGGTTCTACAAAAGCATCACATATCCACTTTGCAGTTACCAGCATCGCATGAGGACAAATGAAAGATTATTTTTCAACAGGGCTGACTGGCAATGGAACAAGGCCCTGCACAAAATCTACTCAGGTTTTGTGTGTTGACCCCCTTGCTGGTACACAAGCGACACCACTTCAGAGGATGTCTATCTGGGTGAAACCGAAGGCAACATTGCTAGTTGTGGGGCCCGTTCTCTGTTTCGACACGTATCACCTTTTTTTTAGTGCTGGCCTCCTTGTTGTCAACAAAACAAGGAACCCTGCCCCCCAAGAGGACCTGCAAACCCGGTCCCGTTCTTTTCAATCACGATCCGTATTCCCGTGATTCTCTCGCAGAGAAGGTCAAACCCTGGGCTCCGGAAAACAGCAATCTCCACTCACGAATGGTTGTTCCACATGGGCGTCCCTACAAAATGGCAGATGGCCCTTCGGCATCGCTTTTCAAAAACCTTAACGTGGGTACCTCGACAAACTACACCCATACCGTACCTCTTCTC